TTTTGCACTATTTTCCTACTCTTCCCAGGCTAACAAGTTTTTACTATTTCCATGCTTTAAGAGAACCAACCTTCTGGTGAGCTGTCTCTATCAGTGCAGGCTTCCTTGCCAGCCGGTGTCCTGTGCAGAGAGGTTCGGGGGAAGATGAAACTAAAACTTTCTCACTCTTGGAGGCTTTTATTGGTAGCCAGCAGTGAGCAAGTATAATGGTGGGAGGTAACTGGAGGGGGAGGTCAGGAGCTGTGCCCTGTTTGTATGACTACAGGCTTAACACAGATGCAGAGCACAACCTTTTTTTTTTTTTTCTTTTCCCAGAAATAAATCATAGACTGCTATTCATCTTTTTAAAAAATGGTTGCGTGTATATCGTCTTATTCCCATAACTCTGTGTACATGTGGTTGTTTTGGGGAGAACAGCTCTGAATCATGTGCATTCATTGGGATAGACATTTTTCTAACATTTTTCCCCAAAGAAAAAGCATACTTCTCGGACCCCAGACCAGGCTAAATGAAGAGCACCTCAGGGTGCTTCACTCTGAGCTTTTCCCTTTCCTCAAGGAAAAGGCTTTGGACAAAGGGGTTGTGCAGATCTGCTTGCTTTCACAACCAGGCTTGGGCGACGGCAGGTGGGCAGCGTGGTGGCAAAAGGGGGCAGTGGCAGGGGCTCCTGGGTGGCCGAAATGTCCCTGTGGCACCCAGAACAGCCCCTGCCCCAGCCTGCTGATGCAGGGGGCAAAACAGGATGCTCTCAGTCAAAGCCAGCAACAGCTAAACCCACCTGCATCAGCGGATGGCTCCCTGTGGGTCAGCACCCTGTGCCATGACACTGTGATGGGGGGAAGCCCCAGCCCCAGCTGAACTCCTCCACCTTCATTCAGCCCCATATACAGAGGCAGCAGGACACGATGGTACCTTTGCTTTTAATCCTCTCCTCCATCTGCAGCAAGTGTGCTCCCTGCTCCTTCTTAGGGATGCATTTGGGTTTTCATTTCTGAATTAGTAAATACACCCCACGTGAAGGCTTTCTGTAAAAATTAGTCTGAGTCCCTAAGTGCCTGTCACAAGGCACATAGCCCAGCTATTGTAAAATTAACTGAGTTCTTACACGCATCTGTTTCCCTCTATGTGATACTAATATTTACTATTTCTTCATTAACATGCCCCAAATATTTAACTGCTCATGCCCTGTGCAAGTCACTGAAAGTTTTGGATGCACTTCCACATTTCGTAGAGAAGCTGTGACACCAGAACAGCAGTTTTTGTTTCCCAGCACGATGTACAGAATGTGCAGAGAGCAGAGAGTGGGTCTGAGCAGCTGCTTGCCCAGGAGCAACGCAAGTTCAAAGCATCCCACGTGAAGTGTTGGTGGTGTGTTCCCCTTCTCTCTTGCCATCGACAAGAACAGGGGAAGGAGAAGTTTGGGTTAAACTGCAACTTACCAGCTTTGCCAGGATTTATGGTGCATTAAGTGGAGCCTTTTACCAATAGTGCTGCTGAGATAAGAATGAACTGTGCCCAGAAGTGCTCCCCTTGGCTTTCAACAAGCCCCAAAGTTTAACTGCGGCCGTCCCTGCTTTATGACAGGGCTGCCTGGCTGACCCTTGGCTGGATTGTACACTTTTTTTTTTTCAAAAACATTGCAAGAAGCTGCGGGAACTGAAGTTTGCAAAAAGTTGTAGTTGAGCAGATGCTTTCTAGAAGAGGAGATACCTGACATCCCACCAGCTGGCTAGACTAGGCTCATGCAAAATGCCAGCTAGCCTAGGAGTCTGCTGGGGAGGGAGGGAAATGGGAAGCTGAAATGCATGGTTGGTATGGGAGGTAACACATTAAAAAAAAAGCTCATCAGGCGAAGCTGAGAGGGAACGTCCACACAGAGATGTGGCTAGGAAGCTCAGAGAGGCAGTGGTTGTGGGGCTGTGGCAGGGCTGCCTAGGGAAGGTGAGGGTCAGCAACAGCTTTCCGTCCTGGCCCCTTTCGTGTGGGAGCAGTCGCTGGACTGCAAGCTGCTGGAACCCCTTGTGCCACAGACACCCAAACACAAGGTCCAGCACACAGCGGGGAGCTCACGGCTGGGGCCAAGGGCTGCTGCAGCAGCTCACAGCCACAGCCTGTCAGACCCAAAGGAAAGTAGTAGAAGTGGTTTCACACCCATCTGCAGTCGCATGCTAGCTTGGGCAAAGGTTTGTCACAAGATGCGTCACGCAGCCTGGCTGAACTTCTGCTTCCTGCACTCGTCGTCTGTTATTTCTCACCGTCCTTTCAACGGTGCCACTCTTCCTCTGGGTCACCGAGATTTACAGGACAAAGCCCTCTGGGAATCAAACTTCATCTCAGGAGCTCACGAGGTAAAAAACAACTAAGGTAAAAATCAACAATCAGATCAACCCCCTTGTAACAGACTAGTCCAACTTGTTAATTTTGTAATCTGCTACTTCGTTAATTCCCTAACTTACAAATTAACTGACTCGCACCCACACACAAGCAGAAGCGCTCCAGAGGGTGCAAGTGCAGGTCTTCCTGTCCCCATCCCCATCCGCACATGGTGGTGGGAAGCAGAAGAACCTCAGCAGTCCGGCTGCTCTTGGGCCAGCTCCAGAGGCTTTTTTGGGTAAGGTGGTCTGCGTCTACCTTCCAGCTTGGACGTGTGCTCTGTGCCATTTCTACGGCCTCCCAAGAGTTTTATCCCAAGCTGCCAGCTGCTGCCACCACACTGCAGGGGACGATGGACCTTACCTTCTCCTGTCCCTTGTGTTCAGCTTACATGATGCCCTTGCTTTAACCTGACAGCGCTGCTCGCAGCATACATGAGGAGCAGCACGTTAGCCCAACACCTAAGCAGGACCTGGGTGAACAGCCACACGTGATGCATCACAAAGTTAATTCAACATTAACCAAGGTATTGGCAGAATGACATCCAACACACTTTGCAACAGAATTTGACATGCGACAAGTACTTTTTAAATTTATTAATGTTACTTAGTAGAATAAGTTGTACTGTTGATTAAAAAGGGCCTTTACTACTTAATAACAAAGATGCTTTTTAAGACAGATGGGAGAAGGCAATCTGAGAGAGAGTTGGACTGGGAGAGATGATGTGCAAGAGGGGGAAGCTGTGCAGCTCCGCAACTGCTGCGTGCTCGTGACCACAAGTCCTCTTCAGAGGAGAGCTTTGCTCACTTTCAGTTCAATGGCAGTCTCGTTTCTCCCCTCCATGTGCATGTGATGCCTCTCGTATATGACCGGATTTCTTCTGTGTGATTTCATCCACCCAGCACCCAACACGCTCACCCCAATAGCCTCTCATGGTAGCTCCCTATGTGTTTAACCTCCAGTTTTCTGAAGTACCTTCTGACTTACCTTGGTGTAAATAGCACTAAGCAGCTCAAACTCTTGAAGGCAACTTTTTGGTCCCCCCCCAGCATTGCCCCCGATTTCTTGAACAAGGTCTGGAGACAGCAGATACAACAGTCGCCACCTTTGCACCCGTTCCATGGCAGATGTCTTCCTTGTACGGCTGTCCCAAGATCTCAGAGGACCCCTGACAGCACAGCAGCTCACGACTGGGCTGAGAGACACGGGAAGGAGTAAGAGGACACTCTCCCCATTCTACCCAGCGTACGAGAAAAAACAGGTGACTGGTCCCTGGGTTGCGCTGGCAGCAGGCCAGCTGTGGGGAGCACCCTCGCCAGATGAAGACCCAACAAGGGATGAACCTGCAGGTGCCAGAGCCCTGCTTGGGGTTGAGCAACCGGGCCTTTATCACCTGTCACCTGGGAGAGGACGTATGCACTGCAACACCAGACCGTCAGCCTCTCCTTTACCCCGCTGAGAGCCACCTCAGCCCCATCTGCTTCACAGACAACCTGCGCTTACTCAGCCTTGGCTTTCTGCCCTCGGTCTTCGCCCCAAGCAGGAACAAGACAGGAGACCTCCCAGCCCCTCCATCTGAAAGATATGGTCAGTGCGACACCCCTTCCAGTGACCTGTCAAGTCTTCCATTTAGTGCATTACTGCATCCACTGTGTGGTGTCATTGTCAGAGATGGAGTGAGGCTGCACTTCACTCCTTAAGAGAGAAGCAACAATACACTTTATTGATACAAAACAGTGAGTTAACAAAGTTCAATGGTAAATGTGACAGTGGTTTAACAAGATTCGATGGCAAGGTATGCTTAGATTATTTACTGCATAGAGGACAGGGTCAGACAAAACTGTCAGGGAGACCCTCTCGTTGAGTCATGAGGTTCAGAAAAGGACCCCCTTGCTTTCTAAACTCCTTCTCAGAGAGGAGTCTAGGTGAAGCTGGATCCAATCCTAGTCCCAGACTTGGTCAACAGTTTATGTCTAAAGGATTATATATGCACAATTAATCCTTTATATCACTTAGCTAAGATTTCAAAGTTTAGCATGCTATTAGTCACTTACTGAGGATCTGTTGCAGCAAGGAATCTCTCAACCTTGAGGAGTAACCTTGAGAGGCGTCCCTACTCAAGGGGAGATCCCGCTGTGCAGCCTGCTGCTGTGCAGGAGAGCTCAACAGGCCCTGGGCTGTCCGCTATTTATAGAGTAACATGATTGACTTACAGTCGTACTTGTGTACCAGCACGACATTTGGGGCCCTGGTTCAGACAGCCCTTGGCTACTGTGTTGCCGTCCGTCCCCGAAGTCCAGCATAAGCTGGATGCAGCCATCACAACCCCCACTGGTGGTCACTGCTTACGTGGGGAGGGGGCGAGCACACCGCCACAGTCATGCACACAGAAGTGGAGGGGAAAAAAAAAGCATCATGCCAACACTAAGCAAATAAATTCTTTAAGGTCCCTTCGAACCAATGCTTAAATAAAGCACAACAGTAATGCAGGTATTGCCAAAAAAACCCCATTATGGTGTACATAAAATCTGTGCTTTCCTTCATTTTTCTCTCAAGTACTTTTATTTCCATTTATCTATTTCCTGAAAAAGTGGTTAATAGCATGACAGCATTTGGGGGAAAATAAGCTCTGATGAAGCTTGAAAATCTGTTTTACAAATATTTGGCCATGCTACAGCATGACAGCCAACACAAAATGCACATAGGTCTTTCTATTAGGCAGCCACCTAATGCTGTTGAAGTTTCTCCACAAAACAGTCCCCTCAGGCTATGCATGTGCTCTTCCCTGTAGGGTTAACTTGGAGATAAAATTATTTCCCTTCAATATACTTTTCATTCAGAGCTGATCAATACTTTGATGCCAGTCCAGGAAAAAAAACAAGGTGCTGTGGAATGGGCATGCAGTTGCTTTCCCTCCCCACCCTCACAGCTTGTTAACAGGCTTGGTTCTGCTTTTTATGCAGTTGAAGCAACATATTTTATATCAGATATTTCTCCTCATTACTCTACCTGTCATAGCCAAGCAGCTCTGCAATTTGGAGGAATTGTGTTCCGCTGGTGTAAACATTCGGGGGTGGGTTTTGTCTTTTTTTTTTTTCATTAGGGCAGAGACTTCCGCTCACTCTTCCAGAAATTAAAGCTGTATTTTTAAAAGTTTTGAACTTAGCATTTGAACACTGTTTTTTGTTGTTGGTTTTGTTTTGTTTTTTTTAATTGTATTAGACTCTTCCTGCTTAGCTCAGACAAAACCACGTGTGTACAACTGCCTGGCTGGGGGTAGGAGGGTGGTGTTTTTTAAATACCACCATCCAGGAAGTGCTGTAAAACCAATGAGGGTTTTTACAATTTCCTTTGGAATTCTGGTACTGTATCTAGCACACACTGTGTTAAAATTTGCTCTGGCCTTTTGCCTCGGTCACAAACTACAGGGAGGCATTGCAGGAAAGTTGCTTCTCCAGTATGCCAGGAGCCTTCAGCTAGTACCGAAACTTCGCATTATCCATGACCGGTTAACATCCACATTTTTTCCTGTCAGCTTTGTTTTGAAGCTTAAATGGATCTTCTCTCCTGGTATTTGCACTGTGATGTGTTTAGAAACAAATTAATGGCCCTTTCCCGGCTTTCACCAAAAGGAAAAAACAAAGAAGCGCCCACAAAATACATTCTCCCACTTCTGTTTACCACACCAGTCCTCATCACAACGGTTGTGCTTTCAGCGTCTTCCTTGAATACTGGCTAACCACAACGCCGTGCTGGTACAGGTGACGAGTTACCTTAATTTTCAGCCGGCTTTTTAGTGACTTCAGCCCACAGGATGCTCTGATCTTTCCACACGCTGACCCACCTTTCTGACTTTGAGTCGAGCTCCCTTTGTGTTCCCACGTCACGCTACCAGTAGCTGGTGATATGCCTGACCTCCTGACGGGGTGACCCCTGCAGCCGGACTGCCTTCCAGCCACACTGGCTGTCCCATGCCCATGCTGTTTGCACACCACAGTTCCTGAGCTAGGTACGAGCAGCGTACCTGAAATTAGAGGGAGGGAAAAATCTGATCCCCTTGCATTAACAAGACCGTATTTACCAAGAAATACACGAATTGCAAAATCCAGGCACAATTCCTCTTGGATAACCCTATGGCTGAGTCCCTCCCCCTGGCAAAGATGAGTGTGAAAGCTCCCATGTGCCACTGGCCCAAGCGGGCTTCTGAGTCAAAGATCCAGCCCCACCACGAAGGGCTGCCGATGCCTTGGCAACCCCTCCTCATATCCCCGCAGGAACTAGCACCCCTGCGTACCTACGGCTACTCCTGAACAAAGAGCTGGTGCTGCTTTGGTACACCTTTCTACAAAGTACAATGGGAGCATACAAAGGAAAGCGTTTGTGTTGGTTAGAGAGTTTTCTGTTTTGCTGAGGAAGTGCCAGTGTTTCACATTTGCCTTTGCAAGGCACATTTGACCTTCCTGCTGCCTCCAAAAGCATTTGTTATCTCAATGTCCTGTGGAGGAACATTTCGAAAAGGAAGGGGAGGAGAAATGCAACATTTGATACTGGAGGAGAAACTTCTAGAGGACACTGTTTATTTGTGCAAAAGCACGCTAGCTAATAATGAAGCTGCTGCTTAGAGATAGGTGTATTTGAGAATTGTTTAACAGACTGTATCTAAATACAGCAGAGAGTGTCTTCGTGAAGATTTGGTACGCAATAGCCTGGGAATGGAAGAAGAGAAGATACGCACATATACCTGCCAGCAGATACAAACAGGGCTTTAGCCAGGAAGTAGTTCAGCCTTTGTCTCTCTTGCACTTAAAAAGTTATTTCTTATTTCTGTGTATTAATCATAAAATGCTCATGCAAATAACACTCTTGGTATTACAGCCTAGAACCTAAACCTTTCTTCATTTTTCAGGCAACGAACCTAAAATACAGCTATGGCTTATCTTTGTAAAAAGCATTTCGAGATGAATTTGGAACCCCCCCACAGAAAACATGCAATGATTTTCAAGTTTAGGACACGAGGGCTGTTTTGAAACTTGAATTTTTACTCTATTTAGCTACACCTTCTTCTTCCGCTCATTACAAGACAGACACTTGCTTGTGACCAGTTGTCATTGGACAAAGGACACCAGTAGGTTCAAAGGAACTACAAAATGTGAGCTCCTCCCCAATCTAAGCTACTTAAAGACACTTAATATGTTAAAAACGGATGAATAACTTTTGCCACAACCTCTCTAAGGTAATATTACAAGTATTAAGAAACTGATCCATACAAATTACATCGTAAGACTTTTTTATTAGTAGTAAATGCCTTATAACCAAAGTTCAACACGAAGTTGGATGCATCCAATGCTCCCTCTACAAAATGCAACTTTGTCACAGAATTGTTCAGAAACTTATTATTCTTCATTTTTAAACTGCTTTTCTTCAACTAAACACTTCCTCCACCCCAAAATTATAAACCCTATTTAAGAACAATTTCTGTGTAAGGACCAAGGAGGCCCTAAAAGCAGTTACGCTTCCTAACATTTTCATGTATTTCTATCTTATATGCAGTCAGGCTGAAAAATCTGCTCTAATTTGCTCAAAATATATTTGACATCACTTGTTTAAATAGTAAAAGAAAAAACAACTTTACAAGGTGTACATTAAAAACAGTAAGTGTTCAGAACCCACAGAAGTCTGTTCCAGCTCCAGACAGGATCTTCTGTGACCAAAGCCATCGACTCATTATATGCTTTCTCATTTCCCTGCAACAGGAACTTCTTCGCCTGTGCAGCATCATCGGTAATGCAAAACTACAGTTAGCAAACCCTGAACGCATGGCTCTGGACTGCAATGTCTCTCAGACGTATTGGTTTAAATAACCTTAAAATATGATACCCATCCTCAGAGCTAGAGCAGTACGCAGCCTTATTTTTGGTGTGACTGCATGCACAGTTGTGCCCCACCACTCAAGGAGCAGAGCAGACATCAGGAAAGGTTGTTGGAATACCATAATGAGTTTGGCAACCAAACGCTCTGCATCACTGAACCACAGCCCCACGTGCAGGCATATGCAAAGCCACCTGTGGAGAAAAGCGCGCTTGCATTGCCTGCCAGCATGTAACCCGAGACAAACTCCACTGTATCATTTTCCCAGAACAGGCATGTCCGTTGCTCCTTCCACAGAAATTAATTCCAGAACGCACCACGCAAGCTCTTTAACACCATGAGTCAAAGAAAAGCGTTAACTACCATGCAAATCACGTAACTGAGAGAGCATAAACCCGTTGAAAACATGAATGGTTTGGAGCAGTGTAATTGTTAGCCTGCAGTTGCTATTTTTATTGTTTATAGGCAGCCTCCTATAAACAAGTTCTCCCTGTAAGACTACAAATAAAACCAGTAGGCATAAGTCAAAATGAATAGAATTAAAAAATAAAAAAAATGAGGATCACTTTGCATGATGAATTCGTAGCTCAGGGTCAACCACCAGTCACGCACACTTGGCAATAGCTCAGGGCTGCTCTGTTTTTAAGTCAGTAGTCTGTGTTCAAATCATTCTTGATGAACGAGCTCAGCTCACTCTAGGCAGGCAACTTTGCAGAAGCCTGTTCTTTTCACATGAAGAGGAACCACTGCCAGCAATCTCAGCAAGAGCAAAAGGTGATTTAAAATACTTCTCTATTGACTTCTTATTCTGGACCTGACACACTCGCAGAGTCCTGGCTGCTTCTAGGCATCTCAGGATAAAAATTGTTATTGCAATTCTTTCATGCAACAAGCTCCAACTTCAAACTGAAAATTATTCAAGTAATAAATAAGAACACCAAACATGTCCAGCCAGATTTTATTTACATCCTGAAATTACTTTGCATTTTCCAATGTGCTGTCACTAAGAGACATCTGTTGCATATAAAATCTTGGGCTCACAGTCTTGAGAGCTTGACAGAAGTTTGGTTGTACTACACAGGACCAACAGAGCAGCTTCACTTGTTGAAGCTTCTATGGAGGTTGAAGTCATTTAAGGATAATCAAAATTCACATTGTAGGATAATCTCATTTGCACATTTTTAGAAACAAGAATGGTTTCACCAGCTTTATAAACAGAATAAAGCAGCTATAGTTATGTTAAATGTGTTTTCCTTCTTACAGTACTTACATTTTAGCTGGACTAAAATATCAGTGTTTATAGTAATTTCAACTACTTGTTTTCTAAAGGCTCTTCTACATTTTTAGAGTCTTTTCGTTTCCACAGATTTCCAAGCACAATCCCTATGAAGAGCAGAACTCCTACGGAACGATTTGAAGCAAATTTCTTCCAACAGTCTTCAGGTTTGTCTATGTCCAAAGTGTAAATCTGCAAAAGCACAGTAGAACATTCTAGCATCATTATTCCACAGACTCATACATATTTGACACATCACAAAAAGACACAAAAAGGTCTGTAACTTCAAAAACTGAACCTCAAATTCTGAAGTCTACCCTTGCCTCTACAAGAAACAGAAATACTCTGCTTACAAAGGATTTTTAGCATAACTGGCATCTATGTTTACTTGACAGATTTATTCAACATACAGCAGAAAAGTCAAGAATCACATATGAACACGATTCCTGGACCCTCTCAATGAAAGACCGTATGAACAGCCTGGATACTGGTGTGTCTGGTTTGATATTTTAAAATGTAAAAATATCTGGGCATGTGTCCTGGTTTTGGCAGGGATAGAGTTAATTTCCTTCCTAGTAGCTGGTACAGTGCTGTGTTTTAGATTTAGGGTGAGAACAATGTTGATAACACACCCATGTTTTAGTTGTTGCCAGGTAGTGCTTACACTAGTCAAGGACTTTTCAGTTTCCCATGCTCTACTGACTGAGAAGGCTGCAGGTGCACAAGAAGCTGGGAGGGGGCACGGCCAGGACAGCTGACCCAAACTGGCCAAAGGAATATTCCATACCATGTGACATCATGCTCAGTATATAAAGCTGGGGGAAGAAGAAGGAAGGGGGGGACGTTTGGAGTGATGGCGTTTGTCTTCCCAAGTAACCATTACGCGTGATGGAGCCCTGCTTTCCTGGAGATGGCTGAACACCTGCCTGCCCATGGGAAGTAGTGAATGAATTCCTTGTTTTGCTTTGCTTGCGTGCGCGGCTTTTGCTTTACCTATTAAACTGTTTTTATCTCAACCCACGAGTTTTCTCACTTTTACCCTTCCGATTCTCTCCCCCATCCCACCATGGGGGAGTGAGCGAGCGGCTGGGTGGTGCTCAGTTGCCGGCTGAGGTTAAACCACGGCAGCATGTAAATAAGTCTTTTTGAGATTTTCCTTGGTAGGTAGCCACCTAATTCTTCAATGGGAACTTTAAATAAAAATAACCCCCCCCAAACCTGCCTGCACTTTTAAATCTCTGCTGCAAGGTGTTGCTCCGTGTTTCAGTAGAGACAAGGCACTGGAGAGCCAGCAGTGAACCAAGCTAACTGGAATGCACAGGAAGGTGCCCGGCCCTGCCTAGCCACACAGGGCTGGTTTAGTCCAGTCGCTCTTAGCCATGCCCATTCAACCCTCTTGCAAAGAAGAACCAGGACAACCTGCAACAACAGCTAGAAGCAAGGCTTGCCCAGCTTGGCAGCTGTCTGCTGTGAGTCACAACTATGGATAATAAAAACCACACAGTGCAGCAAGAGCAAAGTTACTGAAAAACATTCCTGGAAACAAAACTTGGTGCAAAAGTCTTTAGAAGGATGACAAGAGGAAATGTTAAGCAGAACAAGTGAAAGAATTAACAGAGAAGTACCCCCCAAAACCTCAAACCTTGCAATTCAGCCTCTGAAGAAGTCAAAACAGCAAGTATCTGATTAAAAGAAGGGAAACCTTCCCTGGGAAACCTGTTCCTCTGCTATTTGCAGTTGTAAAGAGGCAACAGGGCTGGGTTCTGATCAAATAATCTGAAACGTTGTCCACAAGCTTCTAAAACGTGGTGTTATCAACACTCTTGAAAACCTCTCAGCCCCTCAAGCATAGGGAACTGAAAACACTGAAATGACAAATAAAACCCAAAAGCAGCCAAGCCACGAGATATACCATCAGAAATGCAAAGCAAATAAAATATGTTATTTTTCTACCAGTGAACTTCTTGCGTGGGATAGAAATTCGACATCTTCATGACCCAAATTCCTCTGTCTCAGGCACAAATTCAATGAATTAAGGAAAATCTACCTGCGGCTTACTAAATGCGCCTTACTCAGCTTTCTAAACACAGTTAGTTAAGCACACATTCAGAAATATTGAACAAGAAGATAAGCATGAGAATTTTTAGGCAGAACTAATATTAAAATAACCACTCAAAAAGAAGCTACTCTGTGGTACGCAGAACAATGCTGCTTTTGTGACTTTGACAATCTACACAACCGTTGTGCACTCTTCACCACTTACATTCAATAGGTCTGCATTCTCACATATAAGAACCCTCCCTGCAGGAAAGTAATTTCTATTTGTGCCAAAACTACAGTGTAAGGCCTCTCTGATAATTCAAACTGTAAATGATTATGCAGCGGAACGTAGTATTCTTTCCCTCATAGATTTCCAACCACAATTGCTATGAAAAGCAGTGGCTGACAAGTACCAGACTACATCACCACAAGAATTCTCTTACTCAGAGGTATGTTTAATATCCATCACCTGCATCAGCTCCCCCCATTAAAGTGTAACCTAAGTCTAATATGCTTTAAAAAGTTTCATGATAACCACAAACTTAACTTCTCAGACTGTTGACGGTTTTACTACTTGCAACGCACAAACCTCATTCCTATCGCTCGCCTATCAAGACCAGCAATTAATTTTCATATAGACTGACTTGTCACTACAAGACTGTGCAATGCAGTTGTTAGGATTCAGAAAGAACAGGGTAACAAGATCCTATCTGCTTCTTTTACTGACAAAGCTAATTTCTTTCTTTCTGTTATTCATTAAAATTTCTAAACTAATACAACTACAAGACTGAACTGGATTGTTCTCTGCTATAAAAAGAACTGTGAATTAGAACTGACAATTACCATAAAATTATAGTAGTAACATCTGCTACAGGTGGTAGTGAACAAGCCAGAGAAAATTTTGTTATACTGTCAGATCCCAGATGAAGCTCTAGACCACAGTACAGAATAATTATTTAGATGTAGAATTAACCATCTCTGAGAGACAGAACATGCAACATTCATTTTCATATAGCTACTGTACAGCATGTTATTAAAAAAAGAGCCTGCATGTGTCCTTGATACTGTAGACCATATAATCTTTTAAAGTAAGTGAACGATCATAATATACATCAATTGCAGTCTCAGAGCATATGCGCCAGACATAGCAAGAGCTGTATCAGAACAGTAAAAACTGCACAATCTTGAGGATATTGAGGTGGATCTAGCTGCAGCTGCTACTGGAAGCGAGAAGAAAACCGTTCCCTTGAGATCACAGCTTAACGCGAGGCAGTTCTTTTGGTTAGGAACATATTGAAAACCAATGCTCTACAGTCTGTGGACCACTGGAAGTCTCTTCAAACAAAAGGTCTGCAAAAGGTACTTAAGAGAAGCAAGCAAGCTTATTGTCAGAAGACTTCAGTTCTCTTTCCAGGAATTGGTTTTTTTTAGGTAGTCGGCGAATTGATGGGGGTTGAAAAGCACTCTGATTTCTTATCAAGAACTTCCACATGGAAAAAGTATAAATAAATCCATCAAACCTGCTGCGCTAGGTGAGCCCCTATGGCAGCCACCGCTGAGTAATACGGGAATGTCTGGTTACAATTTATTCCTGCCACACACAAACTCAGGAGCATTGCAAGGCTGAAGCCACTGAGCCACTGCTTCGTATCCTCCTTGAACTGTAACGCTGTTGACTTCACACCAATAATGATGTCGTCCCTCTTATCCTAGAAGAAAGGATGAATTAGCAAAAAACCCACAATCCAACTGCCACTTCATAAGGAAAATAAAAAGGGGGGCCTTGCTTAAGTTTCCAACGCTTATTAGGAACCCAATTTAAGTGCATTTGTAGGTCCCTGCATTAAAATTTAAATTAGAAGGTTGGTCCTTAGAGTCGCTTTAGCAGCCAAGAGCTAATACCAACGTCAAAGTTATTTACACAATGCAAATGCATAAGCACACAAAGCACATTTTACCTCCAGCTTTCTACCTGATATGTAAAACATTTACAAACAGCAATAAAGGTCCAAGGGCTGGGGTTTTATTGGTGGTGTTTTAGCTCAGCTGAGGGTGAAGAACTGCAACAGATTAGTACTGCTCTTTGAGAACAAAGTTGTAAATTAAACACACAAACATACACAGCTATCCAAAATTTCCCACTGTTACTCTACCTGATGTGCGTAAATGGTATCGTATACCAGCGTCCACATTACTCCAGCTAAGTACAAGGGCAAACACACAGACCACTCGCATGACCCTTTGATGGCAGACCAGCCAAGAAGAGCTCCCCAATTAAATGTAAATCCTAAAAACATAAAGAGAGTAAATAAAAGAAAAAAAGTTACAAGATTGCCAGGAGCAATCTAAATTACATGTATAGAATTAAGTATTTGTTCAAGTGCACAAAAAGCTGCTGATATGATAAACAATACTGGCATCTCTATTTTTCTACCATTTATTTTCAGTCAGGTAATAAATACAAGTAATTTGACATTAAGTACTCTGGACATACGAGGAGAAATATGTATATCCACACATTTTTCCCCAATTTAAATTTGACTTCACTAGCATAGGGAAACATTTGCACAGAACCATTCCAGTGTACTCAAACAACGGGTCTAAAGTTAAAACAAATGTCAGTATAACCAAAGTTGTCAGTATAACTGACTGCAAAAGAGTGCACAGCAGCCAACTATGGTACTTCAAGGCCAAAAATGACAATTTTGGTTGAAAAAGCTGAAGGCAGCTGGAATGTGAAGGCCAAGATACAAAGATATGTTTTAGTAGCTCAACGTGAAATACAAGCACCATCAGTTTCTGCACAGGAGTTATTTTAGAGGCTGAAGACTGAAATGCAGGACAAATCCATGTTTAAGAAAGGTTTCGAGATAACCCCGAAACTAAAGCTGATTCTCAAATGACAAATATTTATTTTCTCCCTCCCTTTCTCCCTCCCCTCACCCTGTCAAAATAAGGAGCTGATTTTTAACAAAAAAACCCAAACCCAAACATCAGCTCTTGTAGGTGTTATAAATTGTTTAAGAAGCTTCTGGCACAGCAGAACTTTGTCTATAAGGTATTTTTAATATAAAGTTATAAAAAAAAGAGATTGCTGAAGTTCAATTACTAATTTGTAAAACACCCCAAAAACTACACCTGAAGAAAAAAATAGTAAAAATATTTCCAGCTCACCCAAAACTAACTGTGGCCAATATGTTATTCTCTTCATCAGAGGGTAGGTGATCACAAGAGACAAAGAGGCTGCTCCCAGAACGATACTGTAAAAATCATAGAATCATTGAATAGTTTGGGTTGGAAGGGTCCTCTAAAGGTCATCTTGTCAAACCCCCCTGCTGTGGGCAGGGACGTCTTCAACTAGATCAGGTTGCTCAGAGCCCCGTCCAACCTGACCTGGAATGTTTCCAGGGATGGAAACTCTTGGTAAAAGTACCAAGAGGTTTATTGTTTGCCAGTCTGAAGATGACAAGATATAGTGGAGCATTACAGGAGCTGTACATAGTACTGAACTAATTCTTTTACTTTCAAATACAATTCCATGACTAATAACCTCCTCCCTCTGCCCCCAGCATCTTTTCTGCTGAAAATCTCTGTGCTTAACTCTGGACCTGGAACGAAATTTTAAAAAACAAAAGATAACTTATACGTCACCTATAGTAATTCAGACACATAAGCACACAAAGTGCCAAGCTAAGCTGTCCCCCAAGAAAAATGAAGGAGTGAAAAGTGGAGATATCTCCAGCTGCCAGGGGCCTACTTGCTGTCCTCACAACCTAAAAATGGAAAGAATAATGTTAATACGAAATCCAACATAACACATTCTAATGTATCTTAAAACTAAAAGTCACGCCATTGGTACATAAGCAGAAAAATAAACAGAAGCAGGTCACAGAATGTATGAGATGGGGTTCCTTCAACGATACAAACCTAGCATATCATCACAGACACGAGCTGTATTTCTAAGCAGCAGCGCTTATCATAGAAGCATGCAAGCTTTAAAAACTACAGCAGAAATAGCGTGCCACTTGTGTGCAATGAGGCTGATTAGAAACACTGTAGACATCTTGTATATGAACTTTATTAACTTAGGAAAAAAATAATCAGACTTAAAAAGTTGTGAGCTAACTATCCCACTTTCGAGCAGCACTTCTGTGCTTACATGCTTTAAAGCGATTGCCATGTAAAATATTGTAAAGATGCAGGGCTCCTCTAGCACACATAACCATTGTTAATAACAGTGAAAGGACAATTACTTTAATCCTAGTCGGGATACAATGGAGTTTAGAAACTCTGTCTGGAACAAGAAATCATGCAAGGCAAACCAAAGGAAGAAACAAATATCAGAAAAAAGTTAAACTGAAATGTATGGTGAGTTACTTGCCAAAGGTGACCATTGCGAAAAAAAAACCCCAAACCCAGACAAAAGTTTTGCATGTTGATGAAAGTGGTGTAAAGTCTATTCAAAGAGGTTCATAAGCCAACTTTTTACAGAATACTATGTATGTATAAAGTGTTCTGCATATGCTTTAATAATGTGAATTTAAATTAACTCTTTGTTTGCTCTTCCCCCCCCCCCCCCAATCGGGTTATGTTAAACGTCAAATACCACTTTTGCAGTTTAAACATGCACTTAACATATTTGTGACCAATTCCACTGCACATCGTAACCAAACATGGGATGTTTCATTTAAAGAAAAGGAAAGAAAACATTTACCAAATAATCAGTAACATAAAATCTAAAAACCCAAACCACCATCACCAACACAAGTCAACATCCTGCTAGTGACTCAGCCTCTATCGCACTTGTTTTGAAGGTATCTTTTCAAGGTATGTAATAAAGAGCTGCGATGGGAATTTTTAAAACTTTACATCTAACCACATCACATTAATGCACAAATGAATTTATTATATTGAAAATTCCATCTTACTAATCACACACCCCACCCTGTCAAATATTTTTAGTATTATCTAGTTGTTAATAACCTCCGAACCCTAAACCATCCCAAGCTGCCACAAAACTTGTACTGATTCATTGCCTTCCCAACAGCACAAATACAACAATGCTGTAAGAAGAACTTCACATATCGGATTGGCTCATTATCTTGCCTCTTGCCAGCACCGAAACCCAAAACCAGAGGAACAATATAGGAACAGAAAACAGGACAAGCAGTGACACATCACCAGGCTACTCCCCTCCAAGCCAGCAACTGCGCACATTTCAACATCTGACACTGGGCACTGCCTTTGGCTTATTGTCCTCTTCTGAACAAAAGGGAGATGAAAAATACAACATAATAGAAGAGGATTAGCTAAAAGTTGGGCATGATACTCTTAACAGCCATTCTCATGAAGAAATTAACAATACTCAAGGAAACCCTGCTCCTGAAAATTAAAAAAAAAAAAAAAAAAAAAGTGGTTCTTGGGTAGATCGTAACTAGCAAGTGTAGCAAAAAAGTGTTATTTTGTTCTGTCATGCAAAACAAAGTTGAAAAATAAGCTTGTTCAAGTACTACCTACAGCTGACAACACCGCATATTTTATTTTACGCAGAGGTAAGTACTCTAGAAGACTTATTACAGTCCTAGACAGAGAAATGTTGTACAAAATAAAATGATTTCCACTATTCTAGGAGGAAACGCGGACAAATTAATGGCACGCATCTCAGATAGAAACACAGAGGAATTTCTGAACCTGGAGCCCTACGCCTGCACTCGGCAAGGAATCAGTGGTGATGCTGGAAATGAGCAGACATGTACTTGGTTAATTAACCAGCAATTCACTTCCCTAGGTCTTTGCAAGCCCACGGGGGTTTCGCCACCTTTTTGTCATAGTCACGATCCCACATGTCATTGATCGTGCAGCCGGCTCCGCGCATGAGCACCGCTCCGACGCCGAACAGGGACAGCACGCGCCAGTCCGGGAGGCAGCCCGGCTCGGCCGCCAGGCCGATGCTCCAGGTGCACGGCAGGTACAGC